GGCGGGGCTGGTCGGGCGCGGCGGTGGGGGCTGGCGGGAGCCCCGCCCGTGGGGGTCGGCTTCGGGGCCGCTGGGCGCCCCAGGCGCGGGAGAAGCGAAGGAGAGGCGGCGGGGGGGATCTGCCGGCCCGGTCGTGGGAGGGTTTCGTCTGGGTTCCTGGGGGAAGATCCGGGCACGGCTGATCTTCCCGGCCCGCAGGTCCGTTCGTCCCTGCTTCCCTCCTTACCCGGCGGCCTTTCTTCCTCGCCTCATCCTTCACGGAGGACAAAGCCGTGCGTGCCCGCCCCTGGGCTCTCCGCAGGCTATCGCTGAAGGCAGCTGCTGTGCCTGGCGGGAGTGCCCGTTTCTTTTTGACCAAGGTGTGCCCGAACCAGCTCTCAGTCCATCACCATGGCACATGGTCGGCCAGATCCCACACTTCATATAAAACAGAATATAGTAAGTTTTAGCATAACTGTAGATATGATAGTCTTAAAATCCGAACATGTTGTTTTTTAAAAGTTTGATAAAATATGTACTCTGCCTTAAAGTCCCTTTCTCTTTTCACACCGCAAAGAACATCTTGTTGGCTGGGGTGGCTGCTCTCAGTGTCCCCCAGCGCTCCTGCTGCTCAAGTATGGCCGAGTAACGCGGGCATAACCAAGTTCCAGTTGCTGGAAACTATTCGGCAGAACTGAGGTTTCTTTATCCCTGTCCTGCCCTTCCCAAGGCTACGTCTTCACTCTAGAGTGAAGTGTTGGTGTTGCCTGTGTCTAAATAAATACCTTTTGGATTAGCTCATTTTGCAGCTTGACCTCAAACGAATAGTTAAATTCTACACGTGGTTTTTATTCTGAAATTTCTGCTTTTGTTTGGTTAATGCTAACTCCAGCTGCTAGTCTCAGAGTCAGTCTGATGCCAGGGCTTGTGTGTGCCAAAAGGCCTTGAATGAGAGCCCTCCCCATTAACTCTAAGAGAAATTTGTTACCTGCCTAATACTGAAGTAATTATGTCAGAAACGTTCATTCTCGTACTTCCCAGGTTCTTCATGGGAGACACAAGGTGCATGGCTGGGATTCATTTCACCTAACACCTATATTGTAAACATTTGTATGGTATGGTTCACTTCAGATGGCTGTCAAGTAGTCCAGGTAAACCACTGCCTCAGTTTTCTATCTTGACTGGAAAGGGCCTATGGCTACAGCCATACAAGATTAGAGGAGACATATCCTATCCTAAGTGCCCGCATTTAGGCAGTAAGTTAGTGACTGCTGTAAATAACTTTAGTTTTTAATTTTCTGTTCTTTAAAATCCTTATATTGGGTAATATATTGCATGTACATGCAGTGATTCCCTGTCTCAGGCTTCCTCTCCTCTGTACTGCATTGCTTGACAAAGACACATTAACACTTGCCAAGAGAGACGCTTCTCCACAATTCAGCAACTCAAACTCATAGACACAAACTATCCAGACTTTTTGAAAGGTTTGAGTTAGAAGCCAAGGTTTGCCTCTCAAATCTGCTGCCACTGATGTTCTTCATTATTCTTTTCTCTTTCTCACTCTCCCATTACTAAGAGCTTTGCAAATTTGCAGTTCTGACCTACCATTTTCTTCTGACCTACTATTTCTGTTGTTAGCATTTATTTTGTAGATTTTATGTATTGTCCTCTCTATGATATCAGAAGAATTAATTTTCTAAACCATGCCTGTAAGGAATTGTCTGAGTGGCCTAAAATAAAAATGATTCCAAGCTTTTAATTAGATTCCAAGCTTACACGTCACACCCAATACAGTGTACTCTCAGCAGTTTAATGTTTTCTTTCTTTCATTAAACAAAATCTCTTCTGCAAGTTGGAGAAAAAATATACAACCTAATCACAGGAACATCTAGGTATGAAAAAAAGCATTCACTTGAATGCCACTGTATAAAAGTGTTAGTAGCTATGCAGTATTTCTTTACGTGAAGCCTGTCTGTGAAATATAAAGTCCAATTTAAAAAATATTTTCTTCATTTGTGACACTAAAAATTTATTCTACAAATAATTCAGTTTTGCTTGGCATCTAAATGAAAAAAAAAAAAAGGAAAAAAAAAGTTCTTAGAAGCCATACCATTTTTCACTGCCATTTATTTTTAACTTTCATACTTTTTAATTATATATCACATTCAATTTTACTTTTCATATTTTTCAAAAACGTACAAAAATATAAATTCTGACTATATTATTTGCGTATTTTTTGAAACTGATGATTGTATGACATTGTCATTTTGTAATCCCAGGGCTGGGGCTATGTCAACAAGGTCAGAGAAAGTAAGATGTGTTGCACTGAAGTATTTTTATGGCTGATTTTGTAATTCTGAACATTCTAATGTTTAAAGACTGCAGTTACTAATGCATTGCTATGTAAAACTTAAATATGCCCAAACAGATGTGATCTATGAGTAGAGGTTTATGAGCCTTGAGATGTCAACAGTTATGAAGACATTTCTCATGCTGAAGGCAATAGTTTCTATGCTTAGGTGTAAATAAAGTAAATAAACCAAGATAAGTTGCTGGCAGCAGCGTTTTCAGCTAATTTCAGCCAATATATTCAGGGATGCTGTTGAATTAGCGGGTGCAAACAGTACATCATACTATGAAAAAGTAGAATTTCTAAATACAGTTATTTCTTTTAACTCTATAGAGACTGATTTAAAAAAATAAAAATAATTGATCTGTGTCCTATATGTTTTTTGAGTAATAAGAATGTAAAGAGAAGAGAAATGGAAATATCTGAAGATAACATCAGGATCGAAACACTAAATAACAGATAATTCAGTTATATGAATTGAAGCATCATGCTTAGTTTTAGTATTTGCTATAGCTCACTTCATCAGGAAATGCATTTGCCCAAAGAAAAGGCTGAAAGTGTTTCAAGTTGTGTATACTCAGAGTTACTGATAAACAGATATTAGCTGCTCTTGTTACTTTAAATATGTACCCAGTGAATGAAATGTAATGGCTGTTTGAGAGAGATCTGCCATGAAACAAGAAGGAAATAAAGATACTAACCTTAATTGGGTAATAATTTGAAAGCATTTCCTGGTGGCACAGAAAATGCTTATTTTACACTTGTCACACAACAAAGATACAAAGACATAGATAGCAAAGGAGTGAGGAACTGAGTCAAAATTAGCAATAAAGAGCTTGAAATTAAATATTTGCAATGGCATTAGCACCATATTCCCCTGGAAAATCAGGTTCTGAATACCGCTTATCAGTCTTTCATGTAATGCATCTCCAAATCAAAATTTCAATGACCAGGGGGCAAAATAAGGAGACCTAGAAGTAGAAATTACTTGAAGATAAGAAAACAAACCAAACACTCTTCTGATTAAAATTTGCTGCTGAAGGTAGCTGAAGAGAACTGTCTTAATGATGATCTGAAGGCTGAGGCAGTCAGATTTTTTTAATAGTAATTCATTCCTTTATTTAAATTTGGCAGGATATACAGACCCTTCCAAAGTATTTTGGAGAACACAGTGCTTCCTATAGTCAAGCAAACTATCAGGTTATTTTTACTTTATTTTCAGGGAATGTTGTTGATTGGAGAATTATATTTGACTTACAGCTTGCCTGAAAGTCAGTGGAGCTGAAGAATCGGAGTAACCTAGAGGACTGTTACCTGCATATGTACATTACGTATTGTTTTGCTGATTAGGGATACCAGCTAAACTCAGACACCAGAGTGAAAAGAGCAGGCTTATTTTACTAGAAATAACTAAATAATAGAATAATACAGAAAACATACAGTAAGTAAAGACAGAATAGTGTACTTAAACAAACAGGAAAATACAGGGTAATGCATCAAATCATTACTACCTGAGAGAGAGAATAGTGATTAAGAAAGATCCCTCACCACTCGCACACGTCACCATCACCCAGCCCCGCAGTGGCCGGGCACCCCGGTTACAGCGAGGGTTTGCAGAGCCTGTCCCAGCAAGGGGGAAATCCTACGCGGGGCGTCCACCCACAGGTGAGGCTGCCAAAGTCGCTGTGAGCGGGTCCAGCCTTATGTCCCCAAAAATCAGCAAGCCAGAATAGCTCGCACCTTTGTTTTAAGCAGAAATATCTGGTTTTAATCTCACATTAGATTCCCCCAGAGCCTGGCCAGGGCTCAAGGGAGAAGCTGAGGGAGTTTCCCTGCTTATCTCATTGGATTGTGTGCAAGGTCTCACATCAGGCCACAGTGCCAGACAATTGTCTCCACTGTTATTTTATCCACACACAAAGAAAGATAAATGTACATTCAAGATAGCTACATCTTCCATACACATCTCACTAATGATTACATACTGAGTTAGTAGTTTCAGTTCAGGGCCTGTTGCTCAGGCTTCAACACTTCCACCTTCTACATCAGAACAGATGGATTGTTATAACTTAGTACAATACCTACTAGCACAATGGTTATCGGTTATAATATATACAGGATTCATCTATAGGTCAACTCTGGCTTGGGCCTATTGTCCAAGCCTCAGCACTTCATATATATATATATATGTACCTTACAGCACATGTGCATATGTTGACTGAAATACCCTGTGAAAATCCATCTTTTTTAACATCTCTGTACTTCGTGAATAAACATTTTGACAGCATTTCTGGGAAGAATTAAGCAGACAGAATAGAAATGAGATACAAGGGAGGTCACAATAATCCTGTTTTTAAAATTAAAAAGATTCCAATGAACTTGTTTCTTAAAACTATGAAATATATAATAGAAAAAATTTGAAATATTGGCAGCAATTTCTGTGGGGAAGCTAGCTTGCT